GGCAATTAGGGAAAAATTACGATGGTAATTAATAAAAAAAAGTTTCCTTCTTTCTTCCTGCCTCTGCTCTTGACCAGACAAATGAATAAACTCTCATGAGTAAGTGAAAATGATAACGACACCGTTTTGAAGCATGCAATTTAATTTACTGTATAAAACAATGATAAACGACACCGTTTTGTCATTTAATTTAAAGAAAGTTAATTTCGATTAAACATCACTTATTATTACGAAAAACGAAAAAGTACATATTTATTACAAGAGTTTTATTTTTCCAGCAGAACAAGAGTTACTGTATTATTTAATTTGTACATTCATAACAGAAAGAGATTAGAGCCAAACAAAAACTATTACAAAAAGACTAACCATTGGCACGTTTCTTGACGGGTACAGCATAAAGTGGGTTGGTCTTATGCAAGGTAAGACCAAAGGTCTCGTCCATGTCCAAATCCTCAGGAACGACGCCGTTTTCAAGCTTCCATTGAAACGAATGAAGAAGAGAAGCAAGCACGAGTGACACAGTCCTCATAGCCAAAGACATTCCAGGACATATCCTTCGTCCAGCTCCAAACGGTATCAACTCAAAATCTCTACCTTTCAAATCAATTTCACGTCCTGACAAAAACCTCTCTGGCTCGAACCAGTCCGGGTTTTCCCAAATGCTCGGGTCTCGTCCTATAGCCCAAACGTTTACCAAAACCTGAGCATTCTTAGGAACGGGAAACCCTAAAACTTCTGTATCTGATTCGGCTTTGTGTGGGGCTAGGAGTGGACCCGGTGGGTGCAAACGCAGAGTCTCTTTCACTACTGCTTGTAGATAAGGAAGATCCGAGATATCTGACTCCTGAACGACACCGTTTGGACCTACCACATTGTCTATCTCCGCTTGAGCTTTAGCCATTGTTATAGGGTTGCGAAGTAGCTCAGCCATTGCCCATTCCACCGTGGTCGAGTTCGTATCTGTTCCTCCAAGAAACAAGTCCTGACACAATCAAACACATATAAGTAGTATTAGATCTACATGGCTCAATTTATTATTTCAAATGCAAAATGATTAATAAGATTAGGATTTCCTTATCTATATATATCATATATGTAACTACGGGCCTTTCATATCAATTCTTGAATCACATACGTAGAGAAAGTGTTTGATATCGTTCACGTTTAGCTCAGAACCCTTTTCTTTAGTTAATTCCATTAGCGAATCCAAGAGATCGATTTCAGTCCTCGATAATTTCTCATTGTTCCGAGCATCGATGAACCCTTGAAAGACCTGAAACAGCCTATCCGAGCATACCTTCATCTCTTTACGGATACCTTGCAGATCAAGAAACCCGAGAAAAGGAAAAAAGTTGGCGAGGTTTGGTTTCCCGATGAATTCCATGATGCGAACCACCGAGTCCTGGAGCTCCAGGGAGGCTTTTGGGTCGTAACTACCCAAGTCAGTCGAAAACATAGCGTTTGAGATTATATTGAGAGATGTGACGAAGGAGGCACGAGCAATGTCGACGGATTCTCCTTTTTCGCATATTCGCTCATAAAGGTTACAAGTTCCTTCACTTTCTTCGACCGTACGAACTTCGTGGCGTCGAGACGCTGCGGGGAGAACAACAGAGTCGCCGATATCTTCCTCCATAACCTAAGTGGAACAGAGTAGAGCCGTAAACTGTAAATTATCTAAAACTCAATAATTTTGTGCTAATTATATACTAGTTAAGGGCTTTATATATAATGAAATGTGTTCATATGGGGTGTCGGAACGAATAATAGCGGATAAAGATTAGGAACATATAATTCATGATAATATAATGAAATGTGTTCATATGATGAGGATTCAGAACGGAAAATAGCATATAAGGATTAGGAACTAGTAATTGTTTGAGTACTTC